ACTCCTAAATATGTGTAGTTAATGTATTTTATTTACCATTTATGCATTTAAGCATATTAAAATTTAGAACTTTTTTATTATAGAAGGCATGTAGATATACTTTAAAGAAGGGAATATGCTAAAATTATTTATTCCTGTCTTACCACAATATTTTGATGTATTTGTAATCTGGCTTTTTTTTTGGTTCAAGAATATAGTTATGCTTAAACCCCAATAAAACTTTTAAAAACTGTTTGGGTCATGCTAGATGTGCTATTTTTGCATTCTTATAACCATTACTTTTAGTGGTTATGTGTTATCACGTTGTTCAATAAATGTTTCATAGTTTACTAAAATTTCCCCTTTTTGTTGAACATTTAAATTATTTCCAATTTTTGCTATTATGCCGCAACATGTAGCCCTTTTATGGATTTATGATTATATTCTTAGGAAAGATTAACAGAATTGGGATTATTGGGCCAAATTATAGAAATATTTAAAAGTCTATTGATTTGTATTGACAGATTGATTAGTATTATATACTAATTTCCATTTCCACCAAAATAACTTTAGCTTTTATTTTTGGTATATACTGCTAGTAGCATTAGTATTTTTATTTAAAATGACCATACTAGCTTAGTAGGGGGGGAAAAGCCTTATTTGTATTTATTTATTTATTTTTTGTGGTGCTGGGGATTGAACCCAGGGCCTTGTGCATGAGAGGAAGGAACTCTACCAACTGAGCTATATCCCTAGCCCTAAAAAAGAGCCTTACATTTTTATTTGCCTTGTTGATTTTCAGTGGGACTCTCGCTAGTATTTATTATTTTGTGAAGTGACTACTCCTGTTCTTTATTTCTTCATCTATTTAAACCTGGTTATATAATAAAATTATCAACTTCTTTTCCATTGTAATTTCTACAAATACTTTTTAGCCACTTGTTATTTGTGTTCGTTTTGTGTTTTAACGCATAAATTTTCAAATTCTGTGTAGTAAAATGTATTAGCCTTTTTCTCTGGCTATATTTTTGAATACTTCAAAGATTAGAAACTTTTCTTTCTCTCACCCTCAGATTTTATAATTATATTCTATTCTAACCAATACATTGAATAATCACATTCCCTTTATTTTTGTTTGTCTGTCCCTTAAGTAAGGAGAAATAAGGTGATAGAATCCTTATTTTTGCTATTCAATTTGGAGATTCTCATTAGTTAAGCAACACCTCTCTAAAGAAATATTTTTACAAATTTACCCCTCTACACATTCTGACATTTTTAATATGTCTTTGATTTGACTGAAGGATCCAAGAGTAATGAATATTATTTTTGTACATGTCTTTGAAATTTGTCATAGGGAAATCTTGCATTCACTTTGATATCTCTAGTGCTTCAACTGGAGACCAAAAATTGCCATTTTAAATATTGCATTTTTTTCTAAGCATTTTAATATATAATTCATCTAAAATCTCTGTTCTTTGTATAATATAAAGATGATAATAAGGTGTTTCCCATATCATTACCCCATTTATGCACCCTTAAGTGTAGAATAATTCATTTCATTCTTATTGTTTTACAATGTATATTAAAATATTATGCATATTAGGATGCCTCTGATAAATAGGCATATAATATCAAATTACATGTAAAACATCTTTATATCCTTTCTTATAGAAGCATAGAATATTTTAGGGTTATTGAGATATGTTATTTTTGCCTGAAGTTTAAAATTCATTTAGAAAACCCAGTGTGACAGGGCACATATGTAATTTAAATATCTTTTAATAAGCAGAGTCAGATTTGTTATACAAATTTATGTCTAAATTCTTAATATACCTTTTCCCCTTTTTAACATGTGCATGATACAATGAAACTAATCCATCATGATAGTATTAGGGACACTGACTCTATACATAATCACATAATTTTTTTTAAGTATGACACAATTTTTTATTATTATTTTTTAATATTTATTTTTTAGTTTCAGGTGGACACAATATCTTTATTTTATTTTTATGTGGTGCTGAGAATCGAACCCAGTGCCTCACGCATGCTAGGCGAGTGTGCTACCACTTGAGCCACATCCCCAGCCCCACAATTTTTTATTATTAAATGAGAAAATCTCATTTGTTACATTGTCACATTGCTAGTCAAAGAAATGCTGCAGTGATGAAGAAAGTCAATTCTGGATCAACCAAAGTCCTCATTTCTACTACATTCATTTACAAAGAAATAATGTTCAACACAGCCCAACAAAACATTCTTGGTTTTCTTCATATTGAAGGTCCCCCAAACACATAATTTATTTTATTTTATTTTTTTAAATGTTGATGGACCTTTACTTTATTCATTTATTTATATGTGGTGCTAAGAATCGAACCTGCCTTACACATGCTAGGCAAGTGCTCTACCACTGAGCCACAATCCCAGCCTACATAATCACATTATTTGATTTGCAAAGGGAAATTCTGGAACATATTCCAGTTGTGAACCTCATATAATCTGGTAAAATGTGTCTTTGTTCAAAAATATTGAACAAAATTCTTAAGAAACAAAGCCAAGAGTGAAATGATTAGTGAATGGCTTAAAAGAAATAAAAATAATTCATTTAAGCCATTTTTTTTTGTACTGGGGATTGAACTCAGAGGCACTCAACCACTGAGCCACATCCTCAGCCCTATTTTGTACTTTATTTAGAGATAGGATCTCACTGAGTTGCTTAGCACCTCACTGTTGCTGAGGCTGGCTTTGAACTCGTGATCCTCCTGTCTCAGCCTCCTGAGCCCCTGGGATTACAGGTATGGGCCACCACACCCAGCTTCATTTAAGCCTTTTATTTCCTATTTAGGAATCTCAAGTTGGACATAATCCACATTTATATGTAAATCCTTAACAGTAAATTTGTAAGATTTATAAGTAACCTTGTATGTTACATTTTGCTCTCTAAATACTGCAGAAACGAAATAACATGATTTTAATTTTCAAGAATTTATAATGTATATATTTATATTATAGCATAAATAATTTTTAAAAATAAATAATATAAAACCAATTTCTGATATACACCTCAAAGTATTAATAGCAATTTCCTTTTCAGAATAAAATAAAAGAGAAGCAGGGGAGTAAGAATAAGGACTTTAACTGTTGATTTTTGTAAACATTATATTGTTTTAAAAAAAACTTTTTACAATATTAGCACATTCTTTTTTTATTTTTTTGCAGTTGTAGGACAGCATACCTTTATTTTATTTGTTTATTTTTTTATGTGGTACTAAGGATTAAACCCAGTGCTTCACATATGCTAGGTAAGACTCTGCCACCGAGCTACAGGCTCAGCCCTAGTGCTTCCTTTTATATTTTAAAAAGTTTTGGTTTTTTTATTGGGGTTGGGAGGTGTTGTTTTGTTTGTTGGTGATACTAGGTAATGGAATGCAGGGCCTTGAGAATGCTAAGCAAGCATTACACCATTAAGCTATACCCCACAAACCCCAAAGCAAACAATTTTAACAGACAAAATTCTTACCTTTAACAGACAAATTCTTACCTGAATTTGCTGAGTTCATTTATAGATAAGAAAGTTGACCATCTGTAAATAAAAATTAAAAAAAAAATAGAAAGAATTTTGAATGTTTTTACCATAAAGAAATATTTAAGAAGATAGGTAGCTTTGCCCTGGCTTGAACTTTATACAATGTATACATGTATCAAAACATAACATTATTTCATAAATATGTACTATTTATGTATAAATTTTAAAAATAAATAGAAAAAATGTAAAATAGAGAAGTAGAAAGAAAAATCACTCAGTCTTACCACCCAAAGACCATTATATTTTGCTGTTTTTTCCTACTTTTTCTTTAACATAGCTATGACCATATTGCAGACATAATTTTGTTTTCTCATTTTTTACTTAATATTAAAAAGAATCTTCCTAGCTTATTAAACTCCTCATAAATCTCATCTAAATGGCTACATGGTTTCTTACGTGTCAGTGCAATTTCATATTTATTTACTGAATAATTTTTGTCCACTTTGAAGTTGTTGTCAGTCTTGACTATTACAAGTAATGCTATGATGGATGTTTTTCCTTTGATACCTTTTATTCCCCTCACAGCACATTCACTTTCTCTATCATCCCTGTGAGCTTTCTGAGACCAGCAACCAAAGCAAGGTCCTAAGAATACAGATAAGAAAATTTCCTTTTATCAGTGTCCTGATCAACATACCATATGTCAAAGATCATTAAGCAAACTTGAAATTGAATTAGCAAAATAATCCTTGAAATTTTGATTGAAGAAAAATAAAGTGCTTGAAGAATATAAAGGGAAAAAAGGAACTATGATCTTTCATTAAATTTAATATATTGTTTCAGGCTGATTGTGAATCTGTGGTAGTCTCTACAAAATTGCTTTCCATCTTGATCTGAAAGATAAGCTGACATTATTTTTTTAATTTAAGAAAGCACATCCTTTGATGTTCTAGAAGTAGTAATATCTTGATATCAAATAGTCCTTACCTCTGTAGACTCTGTGTCTCTAGTCACGTTTTCACCATGCATGGTCTGCTCTAAAGTTGTTGGGAATACCTTGTTTTGTGAAACTGAAGTGCTTCTGAAAAGTATTATACAGATATAAACTTTGTCAAATCCAAACATTTGAAAAATATGCCTGGTAACTTTTTATATAAAGAAATTTAATTGAAAGGATGAAGGGAGGAAGAGAAAGAGAAGAACTGACCATAGAGGTCACATGACTGTTGCATGACTAATCTTAGGTTCTCAGTGGGATAGCAGAATTAGAATTTAGACTGGCCTGCTTGTTCTTGGCACAATATTCTTACCTATACCTCAGGGAATTTCTTTAGAATGACATTATTAAATAAGCCTTGATTTAGATATCTGGGCCATTAATATTTGGAAGTGGGTAGGGAATAATGACTTTAAAAAATTAACACTAGGACCAGTTTGGTGTGACTATTTGCTGTCTTCAATTAATTGACTTTATATTTTATTACCATGTTTCTAGAACAATACATCGAAAAGATGTTAGAGATAAAAGAGATTATGGATAACGTACTTGCCAAACAGAAAGCAGAAAGGGATGATCTGGCTAAAAAATACAGGTGAGTGAAAAAAATATGTGCTGTATAGTTTCTAGAATGTATGTTTTTAGCTATAGAAGTACTGTAGTTTGGATCTGCAATGTCCTCTAGAGGTGCTTGGTAAAGGCTTAGTTCCCAGATGGGCACTAACTAGGGGGTGGGTCTAGGTGGATGCCTTCCCATCATTGGTGCAAGCCCTCAAGGGGAATAGCAGGGTCCCTTCTGCTTCCTCTCTCTGTGTTCTGGCCATGAAATAAACAACTTTGCTGTGCCACTCACTCCACCATCATGTGCTGCATGCTGCCTCGCCATAATCCCAGAGCATCTTGAGGCCAACCAACCATGGACTGAAACCTCTATAACCATGAGCCAAAATAAACCTTTTCTTTTTAACAAATTTGTTATCTCAGGTGTTTGTTAAAGTAATGGAAAGCTGACTAACATAAATAGGCCTAGAATTTCTAAAGAATACAAACATTGCTTAGAACCAATAAATGACTTCATGATATTGTCTAATGTCTTATCTCTGTAGAGAATAATACTTTCTAGAAATATATGTATTTTTAACTTCTTACCTGAAATGTTCAGAAAAGAACATTTTAGTATCTTAAAAAGTTGTCTACAGTGAAGAATCTTTTAAAAGCCTTTCTGATCATGAATTCTACAGATTCTTAGCACATCTAAATTTTCTACATGAATTTTTTTCTTTTACAGTAAATATTGTTTCTTTTAGTGCAATTGATTAATCAGTTGATTAATCTTAGGATTGTGTGTACGTGTGTATGTGTATGTGTCTGTACTTCTAATCTTTCAGGGTTCTTAAGGAGTTTTATCCTGAAAATTTTGATTATATACCTCTTATTCTTTTTTGAGAAAATTAAAATATTCTGTATCTTTTTATTATTTGGATATTTTTATTAGTTTTTAATGAGACTTAGCTACTTAATTCCATTTGACATCTATTACATATTCAGGTTTCTCTGGACTTATTTAAAAATCAGTTTGAAATTTTTTAATTCTAAATCTGCTATCTTCTGTCTTTATTTTGCCTTTTTCTCCAATAAGTTCCTTCTTGCTTCCTGACATGTTTCCCTGGCAGTATCAAGCAAGTGAGCTTTCATTGATGGGTAAATGACTGTGGGATATATCCTATGGTGAACAGTGTGAACACTTAGAATTTTGTGAACATTCTAGTGAACATCTAGAATTTTGGAAACTTCCTGATTAACTAGAGTTTCAGGTGTGTAAATCCTTATTAAGATTGCTATAAAATTTCAAATCTTGGTCTGGGTAATCAAAGATATTTTGCTGTCTGAATTCCTTATTTCACATGATGTGGTATTAGTATTTTTATTTCTCCTTTATCTAACTTTTTGCTTTTTTTGCTACTGTTATTTGCTAAACTTATTTCTTCTTGCTGCTTTTTCCACTTAACATATGACAACTTTTAAATGTTTGCTGGATATTCAGTATCAACAACTCTATACTTTGATAAGAAAGGCAAGATATCTTATAATTGCTTTTCATTAAAACAGCATTTCTAAAGCATGGTGTAAAGACTCCTGGTAGGTACCTGAAATCATTTCAGAGAGTATGTGAAGAAAAAACTATTTTTTATAATAATACTAAGATATTAATTGTTTTCTTTTGTGAGTGTACAGTGGAACTTTCCAGAGGTAACCTGATGGTAATGGAGTGTGGGGTATATATTCTTGTGTTTTAAATTTTTATCAGTTTTAATTTCTAAAACAGTAAATATCCATAGGTATAATCCATACAAACAAAAGCCCTTTGGGTTCTGCCAAAATTTTTTAAAGTACAAATAGATCCTGAGGTCAAAATGTTTTAGAACCACTGGAAATGAAGAGCATAATTTCCTGAAGCTCAGTGGGGGATAGGTAGGCTTAGCCAAAATACCAAGAGCTATAATGAGCCATTTCCTCTTCTTTAGTCTCAAGATTCTGAGAGATTTGGTTTGGGGAAGGTGCACAGGATGATGGTCATCTAGATAGTCACTCTGGACTTGAAAATGTCTCAAGATAGATTCAAAGTATAATTACAGTCATTACTTGATAAATTAATATTTCTCAGGTGTAGTTGAGGTGTGATTATTCACAAAACAATCTTGTTTCTCTATAGCTAAAGGAACCTGAGTGGAACTTACTATCAAATTTTACTTCCTAATACACCTTTCTACTCAAAACAGTAAGCAAACTTCAAACTTAAAAAATGGTGGTTCTCTTTAGCCACCAACTACTACTTTCCAATCAAAAACAAGTAGATATCTAGATAGACAATATAAGTGTTATTATCTTTTAGAGTTGATTCATGGCTGATAAATAATAAATATGGATATAAATCTAACAACTTCATTATCACATCCTTTAAAAAGTAAAACTCACTGTTTTAGTCATTTTTTTGTTTGTTTTTGTTTTTTGCTGTGACCAAAAGCCCTGAAAAAGACAATTAGAGGAGGAAAAGTTTATTTTGGCTCATGGTTTCAGAGGTATCAGTACACAGATGGCCATCTCCATAGCTCTGGGTCTGAGGTAAGGCAGAACATCATGGTGGAAGGGTATGGCAGAGGAAAGTAGCTCAGAACATGGCAATAGAAAGCAAGGAGCAGAGACTCTGCTTAACCAGGGACAAAATATATACTCCAAAGACATGCTCCCAGTGACCTACTCCCTACCTTCCTACAGTTACTTCCCAGTTAATCCACATCAGCATTTTAATGCACCTAATAACCCAATCATTTTACCTCTGAAAATTTTTCCATTGTCTCACACACAGCTTTTGGGGGACACCTCATGTCAAAACCATAACACCTGAAATAAAGGAATTTCCTCTCAATGGCAATACATTGTAAAGGTAGACTTTCGAGTACTTCAAGCTGATTAAAATCAAGACAGAAAATCTTTAACATCTAAAATGAATGATAAAACAAAGTTTTCTACTCTGTGTGTTTGTTTCCTGTTTCTGTTTCTTCCTATAGGGTATCCATAGAGTCATTTAAGCATGGAGCCCTGAGAGAACAGCTGGCCAACTTGGCCACAAGACAGAAGAGCCTTTTAGTTGTGGCAAAGAAACAGAAAAAAATAAGTCTGAAAATTCAAAATTATAAAAATGTCACATCATTGTCTGATCCTAGTTTAAGGAAGTTGCCATCCAGCTCACATATCTTCAGTGAAAAGGACAACAAAGAGCTTACCAGTCTGGAAAATTCAGTGCAGCCTCATTCAGGTTCACTTTCTCATATCAATATTGCTTGTAGAAGCATTCAAGAAACACCATTGTCTCTGGAAACATGCCATGACAGCCATAATACTAATCTTTGTCTAGCTTCAGAGGCAGTAAGAAGGGAAGAATTTTCTGGAATTGAGATGAATTCTAAACAAAATGTTAATGATTGTACCCTGGATGGGTTATTCAAATCTAGATACCCAGATAGCAGTGATAATAAATTGTCATCCCAACCTGATGCTTTCATTGCTCATACAGAATATTCACAAAAAGATAATGATCATACAGAAACTACAGCCAAAGACTGTGGATTATATAGTCCTTTTGCCATAACTGGCACATTAAATGGTTCCAAACATACAAGTATACTTTCCCAAAAGAATGCCCATCCATCAGCTGTTATTTGGGACCAGGACCTTTCCCAGTATGATCCAAAAAGAGGAAACAGAAAAACAGCTTCCCAGCAACCACCTGGGGGGACATCAGAATCCTGGGCACAACAAGCCGTTGCTGTCTTGGGCACTGATACTGTGCATCAGACAAAACAATATCTTGAAAAAACAGCTTCTGCTGTTCCACATATAAATAACAGTCAGGTCTCTTCTTCCTCTGGATCTGGCCATCAACATACTATTAAAAAGCCTTTAAACTACAGCACAACTCCTAAAAAGAAATGTATGCAGATAAAAGATTTGATATTATTAGGAAGAATGAATCCAGGAAATAACATTCTGGAATTTAAAACACAGGTATTCTATATTTTTTTTCTCTAAAATCACATAAATTTTATAATAAGTAAATGTTGCTGTCACATAGGTATTTAGGGAACTGGAATTTGACTGGGCTTCCTTTGTATTCATAGTAAGTGAAATCATGCTGCTGGAATTGCCTTAATATATTTCAATCACAAGCACCTTTGGATCTTCAAACCAGAACTAGTTTATTATATTGCAACAGGAAGGATTTAAGAATTAACATAAAAATAATAAATTGAAACTGTCATTAGTTCCATATAATTTCAATAACTACCACTATACTGCTAAAGCATACCCTAAAGGGATATGTATAAATTCATCTTCCAAAGAAGCTCAGTTTAGAACCCAGAAGTGGCTTGGAGTGTGGGTAAATCTGACTAAATTAAAACAATATTACATATACATTAAAAAGGAGGAGAAAAAAGTTTTGTTGGATATGCCTGTAAAAAGGATTTCCTCTCCTCTTTCTCTACGTGCACTTTTTAAAAGAAGAATTTAAATTAACAAAGATCACTGAGTCCTTGAATGCTTCTTTGCTTATGGGCCAATCTGACAATTCAGTCCAGACTAATTAACATTTAATCTGAATGACCTTTGTTTCCAGCTCTGCTCATTTCTGGATAATAAAGCTTTCCATAGTTAATAAGTTTTATTTGTAAATTTAAGTAAAAATATTTAAATTTTAAATCTCAAATTGTAGTTTATGACTGAATTAGTGGCTCGATCTCAGATCCCTCAATAATCCAATTTCTTTGCCTGGCAACCAATTTGTTGTTAAGTGGTGTCTACCTTAATTAGCCAATGCAGCTCAAAATTTAGCAGATTAGTTATTCTATATTAGTTTTTTATTTACTCATATTTTGACAGTTGTGATACCTTCTTAAATCAGCGATAATAAAATTTTGGTAGAGATTTTCATATTTCAGCTATTTTTCTTTCTTTAACAGCTTTATTGACATATAGTTGGTATACAATATATTTACACATAATTGAAATATACAATTTGGTAAGCATTTGTATGTACCTGTGAAACAATGATCACAAGATAATGAAATATCCATTAATCTCAAAAGTTTCTTCTTGCCTTCTTGTACCCTACCTTTATCCCCTTCCTTTCCTTTGCTGATCCCCTGATAATTACTGGTCTCTTTTCTTCTCTTACACATTCATTTACAATTCCAAGAATTGTGTGTTAGTGCAAATATACTTTATGTATTGATTTTTGTCTGACTTCTTCTTCTGAATGTAATCATTTAAATTTATCCTTGTTATAGCATGAATAAGTCATTCATTCCTTTTTCATTGTTTGATAGTAGCCCATTATATGTGTATATCAGTTTGTTTATCAGTATGCCTATGATAGACAGTTAGGTTGTTTCTATTTGTTGGCTATAAAGCTATTATGAATCTTGGTGTACCAGTTTTGGTATGACATAGACTTTAATTTTCTTGGGTAAATACCTAGGAATGGAGTTACTGGGTCATATGGTAATTATACATTGAACTTAAAAAATTGCCAGAGTTGTTTGTAAAATTTTACATCTCCATTGGTTGTGAATGAGAGTTCTAGTTCCTCAATGTAGTATAATCAGACTTAATTTTAGGCTTGCTATCGGAGTGTAGATGTGTGTATTGTGATATAACCTGCACATCTGTTTAGTGGTTTATCACTATGGTTTTAATTTGCATGCCTATAATTATGATTGATGTTGAATATCTTTTCACATGGTATTTGCCATCCATATTTATTATTTGATGAAGTGTCCAAATCTGTTGCCCTTTTTTATTGGTTGCTTATTTTCCTATCATGTTTTGTCACACACACACACACACACACACACACACACACAAAGTACATATAGATATAATCTTTATCAAACATGTACCATCCCTACTATTTTTACTATATTGTGGCTTGTCTTTTCATTCTCTTAACATTATTTTTTAAAAATAGAAGCCTTTAATTTTTTTTGTAGTTTTAGGTGGACAGCATACCTTTATTTTATTTGTTTATTTTTATTTGGTGCTGAGGATCAAATACAATACTTCATACATACAAGGCAAGTGCTCTGCCACTGAGCTATAGCCCCAGCCCAGAAGCCTTTAATTTTGGTGCAGCTAAATTCTTAATTTATTCTTTCATAGATTATGTTTTTCATGTCCTATTTAGGAATTATTTGTCTTCCCTAGTGACAAAGTTCTATTTTCTTCTAGAGTTTTTAGTTTTTAGTTTTATATTTAGGATTATAATCTATTTTTAATGAATTTTTGTATGTAGTACAATGTCAGATCCTCATTCATATTTTTGAATTTGAATATCCAGTTGTTCTACCAACATATGTTGAAAAGATACCCTTTCTTTTGAATTGCCCTATATATCTTTGTCAAAAATCAGTTGTTCATATGTATGTCTATTTTTGGTCTCCCTGTTTCTGTTTCATTGATTTATTTGCCTATCTTTCCATCACTACTAAACTATCTTGATTATTGTAGCCATAAATAAATCTTGAAATCTGGTAGTGTTAGTATTCCAGTTTTGTTCTTTTTTAAAAGTGTTTGGATATTCTAGGTCCATTGTAATGATATATGAATTTTAGATTTCTACCCCCAAAAAGGCTGCTGTTATTTTTATTGTTTTTTCATAAAATGTATAGGCTAATTAGGGAGGAAATGGAATCACAATAATATTGAATTTTTCAGACCATGAATATGGTATGTATTTCCATCTATTTGGATCAATTTTTCTTATTCATCGGTTTTTTATAAATTACGTTCTTTTTTTTTCATATAATAGTGAGTTTCCCAGGGTTCTTTTTTTTCTGTTATCATTTCTAATTTCATTCCGTTGTGGTTGAAGAACATATATTACTTCAATTATTTTAAACTTGTTCAGGTTTATTTTATGGCTTAGCTAGCAAATGTCCTGGAGAATGATCCATGTGTGCTTTAGAATGTATATTCTGCTGTTATATTTTCTATAGATGCCTGTTAAGTCTAATTGGTTTATAGTATTCAATCCTTGTCTTTCTGTATTGATTTTTTTACCTGTTTGCTATGTATTACTCCATATTGAAAGTAGGATATTGAAGTCTACAACTATTCTTGTTGAATTATCTATTTTTCCCTTCATTTCTGTTAATTTTTGCTTCCTGTGTTTGTGTACTCTTTTGTGTTTTAAGTACATATGTATTATGTATAATTGTTATATGTGCTTGATGCATCACCCTCTTAACATTATAAAATGTCCCTTTTTATCTCTAGTAAAAATGTTTGTTTTAAGGTCTATTTTCATCTAATTTTAGTATAGCCATTTCAGTTTTCTTGTAGTTGCTGTTTGAATGATACATTTTTTTATCTTTTTACTTTCAGTTTACTTGTCTCTTTGAATTTAATATCTGTCTCCTATATGCATTATATAGTTAGATCTTGATGTTTTAATCCATCTGAAAATATCCACTTTCTTAAAAGTTTGTTTAATCCACATACATTTAATGTTATTAATACTCTTGGATTTAGGGCCTGTTAAATATTTTATCAGATCCCATACAGTAAAATTTGCCTCTTGAATGCTGAATATGTATGTAGTCTTATAAATATTTTGGAAACTTGTTCTTGAAAATGGTTTGATTCTTTTGAGTCTTGTTTTCAAGATTTGTTAGGCAGGATCAGAACAGTGTCAAGTCCAGTGCTAGTTATTTTCCACTACGGAGGCAAGATTCTTTTATGTATTCCACTGATGGCCCATCAGTCTGAAGGTCTTTCTACTCTTGCTTTAGGGACTCTATTCCCTGTCTTGTGAGAGTGCCAGGTGTCAGTACCTCTAATTCTTTCAAGTGGTTCTTTTTCCACCCTTGGTCAATTTCCTCACACATATCCATCTATCCCTTCTCAGCTGAAATTTAAAGAGGACCCTCTAAAGATCTACACAGTTTTCTTTCTTTTTATTTTTCTCTTCGATACCTTGTCCTACAGACTCTAGCCTCCTGTGTCCCTAGACTCTGCTCTGTTTCCTCAACTCAGGGTGTCCAAAGGCTTTACCTGGTTTCCCTTTCCCTGTACATGACTTGGAAACTCTCTCATGGTGGAAGGCTGGGATAATTATAGGGTTCACCATAGTAAATTATCATCTCTCAGAGATAATTGCCTGATTCTTGGCCTCTTATAAACAATTGGATCATATATTTTGTATTCTTTTATTGTTTTTTCTGTGTCAAATGATAGGTAAATCTGATCCCTGTTATTTCATCATGACCAAAAACCAAAGTTCATAGATTTCAGCAATTTTTATCTTAATTTTATTTATTTATTTATTTATTTTTTACTTCAGGAGACTATCCACAAAGCAAGTGTTTTATTAAGTGGTAAAATTAAGGTAGAAAATGGTCAGATTTATCAAAATCCAGTCACTTGGCTCAAGGATCTTCTGGGAGGTGACAGTTACGTGACCTGGAATTACGCCTGGAGTAAGGTGGGTCATTCTCAAGTTTATCTTTAATTTCATAGTTAAATTAAAATACATATTTTTATAAAGAAAAATTTTTAAAAGAAGTCTGAAAGATCTCTCAGATAGTTTTTGCCCTCATTTGTCTCTTCTGTGACATGCTACATGCTTTAATCTACACTGTATTTGCCAAAATTCCCATGGCTGTGCAGCTCCCTTACTTGCTCCTTATCTAGTTTCAGAAACTTAACTGGCTCTAATCTTCCATTTTTATCCTTCTAATAAATTTCAGGGCTTTATGACTCCATATAGAAATTTGGGACTACTAGTGTACTAATATTTTAGTTTATGCATGTTATTATTATACTAATGGAATAAATCAAAATGTAACCTAAATATGAAAGTACATTTTACTTTTAGTTTTGAACGTAGCATTAATCACATGTTGCTAAAAGATTTGAATATTTTCCTCAAAAAGAAATATTTTCAGACCTCACAGACTTAGTAGCCTCTCTCAGTTCTGGCTTCTGAGTTATAAGCCCACTGATGACTGACACCATATGGTCCAGTGTTCATCCACCCGTAGGTGTCTGTGGTACCACATCAGGTCTTACAATGACTCACTCAAAAAAGTATGAATCATCAGATACACCATTATGGTTTATACCTTTAAACTTCCCTACCCTTTGCAGTAAGCCTCAGTATACCAATAATAGAAGGCATAGCTTCCCCTCTTTTGTTGTCCAGCTCAGTTGTATCTGCCTTCCCTCCTTGCTCCTGCTCTGCCCCGAACTCTGTGCCCCTACTCTGCATTCTTTCCTTGTAGGCCTTTGTAGCAGGTACTTCTGGTACTGTTTCAGTCCCTTCACTTAATCAGCACATTCTGGATTTTGTGTGCTATATAATCTCTCTGACTTTTTACCCTCGAAAGTTTTTTCTTTCCCCACCCCTACAATCACCAGATTTACTGCTTTTTACACCTTTGCTCAGTTCTTTTCATGGATTGATAATTTATACCAAATGATAGTAATTAACATCTTACACCAGTAATCCCTTTTATTAGAATATTTTAAAAAGTCTTTTGATAGATTTTTATTGTTTTGTTAAACCATTCTCATGGCATTGATATGGTACTCATTGCTGTGGTTTTGGTTCTTTTGGCATGCTGAGAAGACTCTATTCTCTCACGCTTTTTCTCCATTATAACCACTACATTTCCTGCCTTTGAGAGCTGTCTATGACATCATTTGGTCCTCACATGTTACTAATGCCACATTTGCATATCCCATTGCTTCTAGTGTTTTCTCAGCAATCAAGCCAATTAGAGTTCTAATGTTTAGCATCTATGTGATAGTGAAGTCAGCTGCAAGTATGAATACTACAGATTATCTGAGCAGGTTTAGATTACTTTTCTTTTTTAGATTATCCCCAAAAATGAAAGCAGAGTTTTTAAAATTTCTATGGGACACACACGTACTTTTTAGTAAATACCCCAAATTGAAATATGATCCCAGTGAGTTTCTCATAATATTTAAAAGTCTTTTTAAAATCTTCTTTTAAAGTTTACCACTTGTATTTGGGGCAAAAATGGGAGTTCATAACCCAATTGAGTCAAATGTATGAAAGATGATATATCATGAGCTTTGTAATGTTTTGAACAACCAATAAAAAAAAATATTTTAGTTTACCACAGAAAACTCTGTCTCCTCTTGTCTGAGAGGAGCTCCTGAATTCACAGATGCTTCTTGATGATGAAAACTTTTCACTGCACTGGTAAATGTGAACATTCTACTGACTAGTTCTGAGAATGTTGGTGGGGGTGTAGGGCCAGGAATGATTTGCTGTCAGGCATGAAATGCTAGAAAAGTATGTCTTTCTCTGCATCAGATAGTGACAATGTCACTAGATACAGAAATAATTCATACCTCCTACCCAAGCAGCTGGGCTGCTGTACATCTTTGCTAAGGAAATTTTGGTGCTTAGGAAAATTCTTTACTGAGGAAATTCAACTCACTTCACTGATTTCTCTTGCAGCTTCTGCCTCCTAGCTGTTAGACACCATTCTAATGGCCAGAGTAATCTCTGGGTAGGAGATAGGATACCAAACTAGTTTCTGATTCTACTTTTTATAAGTTATTTGATCTGGGCAACAGTTTTTAATCATGGTTATTTCTAGAATTACTTAAAGAGGGTGGAGTGGCTTTTTAAAACTAACAATGTCTAGTGGACCTCAGTTCAAAGCTTCTAATCTAATAGTCTGATTTGGGAACTAAGTGGCAATATTCTTAAAAGCTTTCCAAGTGACTCTTTTTTTAAATGGACATAATATCTTTTTTATTTTTTTATGTGGTGCTGAGTATTGAACCCAGTGCCCACACATGCTAGACAAGTGCTCTACCACTGAGCCACAACCCCAACCCCTTTCCAAATGATTCTAATGTTCATCCTGGAGTGAGAATCACTGAGCTAGGACAAATCATTTAACTTGGTCTTCTAGTCCTATACATAATTTTTCTGAATTTATTAACAATGGCACAAGGAGGCCCACATTCCTTTCATTGCAAGCAAGTTGCCCTCAACTCAAAAGAACACATGGAATCATCTAATCACGTTTATCAATATGTAGCCTCAATCATAGGCAGCAGAAATGGCTCACCTCCACAGGAAAATGCTTTTCCAGTCTATGATCATTCCACCTTGAATGTGCTGGATCTCCTCTAATCTCAGAAACTAAGATAACTTGGCTCTGGTTTTTATTTGAATGGAAGGGAAATTGCCTTTTGGTGATATGATTGCCATACAAAATTTATAAGAATGGCAATGGTAGTTCATTTTTGGGACCCCCAGGAGTGAATTGATGAAGTTGAAAAGTAGGCTATCATTTTAGGTTGTGACTCAAGGAACACTAGACAGATACCTTGTGCAAACATACTTTCCAGCCAGATGCCTTGCTAAATTTTCACCCTGATAAACTCACTCCTTTGGAGTTAGTGTTGACTTTCCTCTTTCCCTCCACCCTCACATATTTTTATAAAAGAAATTCCATAATTAGGAATACCAAGATATAGACAGGTTAGGGACAGAGTATATAGAAAGTGATGAAAATTGTTCATCTGGACAGATAACCTAATTCAGTCAGTTACTCTCAAAGTGTCTTAAACTTTATGCAAACTTAGCTTCTATACAGCTGTACTATAGAAGAGAAAAGAGATGGCTAGAGAAATGGATCTTTTAAAAAATACAAATATCTAGGAGTTGCAAATTCTGAAAAATAAATACTAGAAAGGACCTTTTCTTGCCTCCTGCTGAATAGAGTGCTGGGGAATGAAGAAAGGAATCTGGAATTGGAATTGGGAGATATGTACTATGAAAAAGAACTTTACCTGAAAAATCATTTACCTAGAAGCAATTCTTACACTTTAAAATGACTTTCTGTCTTGTATTCTGAACTCTTAAAGAAATATTTTATTTAAAACACATATTCTTAACCACAATGTTTTTTGTATTATAATGAGCCAAAAAAATAGAGTTTTTTTGTTTCTTTGCTTTTTTCCCCTACTCTGAGATCTAAAAACAAAACAACTTTCCTTTTCTCTTTCTTCTCTTGAGATATTGAAAATTGTAAGACTTGCTGCTTAAAACTTACAGAATCCTATTAATCCATATTATAAATTGTTTTTCTGAAAACATGTGAAAAACAGACTGATACTTTCAAAAATAAAATGGACTCCCATCAGGGAAATAAATTTTTGGACACCTCTTTAATATTCAAAGATGTCATGGTTTAGATATTATGTATCCCCCTAAAGCTTGTGTGTGAAACAATGCAAGAAGTTTTAGAGGAGAGAGGATTGGGTTATGAGAGCCTTAACCCAGTCAGTGAATTAATTGCCTGATAGGATTGACAGATAGATGAAGGCGGATAGAGTGTGGCCGGAAAAGGTGGGTCATTGGGGGTGTGCCTTTGGGCCTGCATTTTGTATTTGACAAGAGGAGCCTTTCTTTCTGCTTTCTGATCATCAAGTAAGCCACTTCTCTCCACTAAACTCTTCCTCCATGAAGTTCAGCCTTATTTGAGCCCTTACCTATGAACTGAGACGTATGAAACTGAGCGCTTAGATAAACTTCCTCCTCTAAAGTTGTTCTTGTCAGGTCTTTTAATCACAGCAGTAAAAAGCTGACCAAAACAAAAGGCAGTCAGGAGGTTGAGACAGGAGGATCACCAAGTTCAAGGTCAGTCTCAGAAACTTAGTGAGGCCCTAAGCAACCCTGTCTCCAAAAAAAAGAAAAAAAATCAAAAGCAGGTAATGTTTTATATTTTTTTCTTGATTCATATGAATAGAAACATTTGTTATAGCAATTAATGACAGTTAATATTGCCAAAATAAAGTTAATTGATATTCTCACTTGCTTATTAACCACATTTCCATGTGTGATCATCTACCTCATACATAAGTACTTGCGCACGTACACACACACACACACAAACACACACATGTTGCATACATCCTACTTCTTCCCCAGCATCCTTCTTTCTTAAGTCTGCTATGAGGGAATCAGCATAGGCTAATATCTGAGGAATAATGGACCATTGGCTATAAGGTTTCAGGGAAAACCCCAGTGGCCTTAGGACAAAGCATCCCTGCAACTTTACCTTTTAGAAAAGCAAGAACATAACAACCTACAGATATCTTCATAGAACACAGCTTATACTGTCTCTTACTTTTTCTCATCTGGAGGAACATGACAAAGTTTCTGAGAGCACTAGAGGCCATGAAGTCCAAAAACCTCAGAAACTAGCCTCCAGCTCTTCTTACCATGCCTCTGTCAGAGTGAGCATGTAAGCTACATTTGGATCCTTAGTAAAATTTTCAGGATTCAAAGTTTGAGCTGTATGAAATGTGATAACTGTTTGCACTTTTGCTTTAGCCAATTGGAGCACAGACACTAATATGAAATACAATTTCTAGAAGTGACTGCCTGTTTCTTTTGAGTCTTTTCATTAATTTATTCAACAAATCACTCTACTTTGTGAAAGATACACTTTAACTTGGTGGATTTTCTTAAAGTTGTGTTGTTTATATCTGAATTACCTCCAGTGGTATGTGTAAGCCACTTTATGTTACCCAGTACTAAAACTGATTAAAAAAATATGCTTTTAAAGTAGGAGATGAAGATGCTAACATACTGAACCTGCGCTTCCATTAGTTTATAAGGTATATTAGACATTGTCAGGGCATAACCCGTACAAAATTCATTGTTTATAATTATTGGGTTTTTTAGAGAACTGACAAATGACATTCAGGAGCTGTTTCTCTCTTTTTATTTCATGGCAAATGAGGAGGGATTGGCACACTGGGCAAGCCAATATATCCCATTTGCTTTACTTGGCTTTGTTTGGTGAGGGGTTGAGCCCAAATCCTATATGTACTTTATAGATCACCTATGCTTTCCTGGCCCTGTTCAATTAACAAGATTTTAGGATGTGACAGATAGTATGCCAGATGCTTTTCATGCATTCTATCTCTTAATCCTCTTAATACGCTGAAGATACTTTTTTCACAAATGGATAACCTGAGACTTGGACTTTAAGAGTCTTACTTAAGAGTTGTAGCTTCAGTCTTTTAATCCATAATGTCAGGCATTATGTAAAGTGCTAAACATACACAAATGAATATGACACAGACCATGTCCTCTAGAAGTTTATGGTTTACTTGACACAAGAGACATTAAAACATAATTTCTTTTAAATGGAATAAATGCTGTGACAGAAATAAGAGCACAAAAGATATGAGAGCCTAGAGGAAGGTCATTAAGTTTAGAGGTTATAAGAAGACATCCTGGAGGAAGAGATGTTGAAATTGAGACTTGATGCTCTGCCCTAAGAGAACCTGCCCTTTGGGGGTTTTAGGTAGCCCTAGACCTAAGAGTGGGGAGTGCAAAGACCAGTGGACCAGGAATATTTCTGGTAGGTATATACCACAGCCCTGTCCATTATTTATAAATATTTTTAAGCTCTGGCCTATGGGATTAATAAAAACATCTAAGTCCACAAGTTTTTATAACTGGATATGTAGACCTGAAATATTAATAATCTAATCATCTAAATATTTTATTTCCTGAAAAGTACTATTACTTCTATGGCTTAGTTTTTTAATGTCAATATTTTTTAGCAGATGAAAGATTAACAGTTGCTGAATAAGTGATGGATGAGAGAGGTAGTAATATACATCAGGGGACAGTAAATTTTTTCTGTAAACAGGCCAGATAATAAATAATATTTTAGGTTTCATGGGCATGTCACAACTATTAAGTTCTTTTGTAGCACAAAAGTGGGCAGAGATGTTAAGTAAATGACTGGGTGTCACTGTGTTCTAATAAAATATTATGTTCTAATAAAATATTATTTTCAAAATTATTTACCAAAAAAAGAGGCAGTCTGTACTTTGCCATGGGCTATAGTTGGATTTACAATAATCAGTACTTAATAAAAATTACAATTTTCAGGAGATTGATATATTTGCCTCTGACAGAATGTATGATTTTTTTTAAATTTTGGCTTTGATTATGTGTAGGTAACATATCTTGGGAAGGAGCTTTTAAAGTATGTTTCTGAGGAAGTACCTCCAGAACCAAATGTAGTACCTCAACAACATCAGCCTTGTCTTCCAGGTATGTCTGGCCCAATATCTGTTTCTTGGTTGTGGGATAAAAACACCCAAACCTACTCTTTTTATTGTGTATTTTGGTCTTTTATTTTTCATTGAGGTAAAATTCACTATTATTCATTACAATTAACCATTTTAAAGTGAAAAATACTGTGGCATTTAGTACACTCACAATGTTACACAACCACTACTTTGATTAGTTTCAAATATTTTCATCACCCCAAAAAGAAACTTACTCCCCATTCTCTACTCCCCCCCAGTTCCTGGAAACCCCAGGGTCTACTTTCTGGAATGGATGAACATGTTCTGAATATGGAATTAGATAAGACTTTTTGAGTCTGACTTCTACTTTATATAATATTTTTGAAGGTTATTTTAGCATGTATCTGTACTTCAGACAATATTTCTATGACAGTAGAGTGTATTTTGACATATTATCCATATATGGAGTATAACTTATTATAATTATAATCCCATTCTTGTGGTTATACATGATGTAGAATTTCACTGGTGGTGTATTCATACCATTTATACCTCTTTCCCCACATCCTTGCCAACATTTATTGTTACTTTTATTCTTGATAATTGCCATTCTGACTGGAGTGAGATGAAATCTCAGTGTACTTTTATTTTGCATTTCTCTAATTGTTAGAGATGTTGAACATTCTTTCATATATTTGTTAACCATTCGTATTTCTTTTTCTGTGAAGTGCCTGTGCAGTTCCTTTTTCCATTTATTGATTGGGTTATTTGGGTTTTGGTGTTAAGTTTTTTGAGTTCTTTATATATCCTGGAGATAAATGTTCTATCTAAAGTGCAAGTGGCAGAGATTTTTCTCCCATTCTTTAGGCTCTCTTTACATTCTTAATGGTTTCCTTTGCTGTGAAGAAGCTTTTTAGTTTGATTCAATCCGACTTATTGATTCTTGATTTTAGTGCTTGTACTTTAGGTCTTGTTGAGGAAGTCTAAGCCAACACAATAGAGTGTCTACATTTTTTTTTTTTTTTTTTTTTTTTTAGTAAGTGCAGAGTCTCTGGTCTAATGCCTAGGTCCTTGATCCACTTTGAATTAAGTTTCATGCAGGGTGAGAGATAGGGGTTCAATTTCATTTTGCTACATGTGGATTTCTAGTTTTTCCAAAACTGTTTGTTGAAGAGGCTATCTTTTCTCCAATGTTATGTTTATGACACCTTTGTCTAGTAGGAGATAACTGTATATACGGGTTTGTCTCTGTGTCTTCTATTCTGTTCTATTGGTCTTCAGGTCTGTTTTGGTGCCAATACCATGCTGTTTTTATGCTGTTTTTGTTATATAGCTCTGTAGTATAATTTAAGGTCTAGTATTGTGAGATCTCCTGGTTCACTTTCTTATTAAGGATTGCTTTGGCTATTCTAGGCCTCTTATTTTTCCAAATGAATTTCATGACTGCTTTATTTCTATAAAGAATGTCAATGGGATTTTAATAGGAATCACAATAAATCTGTATAGCGTTTTTGATATTATGGCATTTTGACAATATTAATTCTTGTCTATTCAAGAACATGGGAGATCTTTCCATCTTTTAAGTTCTTCAATTTCTTTCTTTAGTGTTCTGTTGTTTTCATTGTAGAGGTCTTTTCACCACTCTTCTTAAGTTTTTGATTGTGTTTGGATGGGCTTTTTTTGTTTTGTTTTGTTTATTTTTTAAGGCTGTTGTGAATGGGATAATTTTCCTAATTTCTCTTTCAGCTGATTCTTCTTTGGTATAGAAGAATGCAATTGACTGATGGCTGTTAATTTTATATTCTGCTACTTTGCTAAATTTGTTCATGAGTTCTAGAAGGTTTCTCATAGAGTTTTGGGGTCTTCCAAATATAGGACCACGTTGTTGGCATATATTTAACTTTTTGAAGAACAGCCACTCTTTTCCAAAGCAGTGTAACCATTTTACATCCCCAGTTGTAATTTCAAGGGTTCTTATTTTTGTACATCTGTACTAACACATCTATTTTATTCCTAACCACTGTTGATTTTAGGAGAATTTAAAAAATGACAAAATCCTTTATAATTCTTTTTTCTGAATCTATTCTGTACTTTCTTTGGTTAATTTTTTAAAAGTATCATATAGGAGTCAGTCATATAACATAGATAGGAAAAGATAAGAGAAAAGTAATAGAAATACAAGGGGGAAAATGGCAAGATAAGTTGGAATCGAAAAATGCAAAAGCTGAACGCATCAAGAAAAGGATATTTTATAATTTTTATAATTCATCACAGTGTGAATCTTCATATTAAAACTTTTTCCGTTTAAAAAAAGTATCATTAAAATCATGCCCAAAGTGACATGATTTGGTTATTAAAATATTTTGTATAAATAGGTACTAAAATAAATCTTTGCTAATTAAACTAATACTCCTGGTTGGGGATGTAGCTCAAGGGTGAAGCACTTACCTAGCATGCATGAATCCTAGGTTTAATCCTTAGTACAAAAAAAAATTGTATACCAAACTAATATTCCTTATTAAATGGAGTAAACTTCCTCATGAGAAAACTAAAGATGTAGTCTTCACCAATGAGCAGCACATTTTGAAATGATCTATGAAAGGGCAGAACACATTTCTGAAAAACAGCAGTATTATATTATTCGTCTCTACCACAGTACCCTCTCTTCTTATCTTGGTGTTCCAGTTGAAGACAATATAAGCAGAGAGGTAGTACAAAATAGAAAATGACAATACTCTGATAAGCAGGATAAAGAACCAAACAGGATTTCTATCACCAAGTCCTTACCCAGAAGTTCTCAGGAATTATTCCTTTTCTTACTACAAAGCTCCATAATTCAAACTACTTTTCTCTTCTAACTTTATGCTTAACCCACACTAATCTCTCAGTATTATCCTTTCTCAAACACTGGCTACATGATGGGGTGCATTCTTCCCAGTTTTCTGAAGACGGCCTCAAAAGTACTTTTCATCAGTAATGGGAAACTTAATCTGGGAGACCAGGTAACAATAAATTAATTAAGTTAAATTTTTTTAAGAAACTGGAAATAGTTCCTGTAGTAATTCATGGTCTTTGATTCCTAACTTTTAACTACAGATCTATTTAATCAATTCTTGTGGTAAGTTCCAGTATCCTGAATTTTTAAAAGTGACTCTTACATAGCCAGTCTGACTATAGACTGAATGACTAGTAATATTTGATTTTTTATGCAGATGATAATTTGACAAACCTTGATATTCAACCTTTTACTTAGATTCCTAAGAGTGGAATTACTAAAGCATGCAAGCTCTCTCTTGCTCTCATATCTGTCTTCACTCTCTTTTTCCCTAGTGTACATGCACAGATGCTCACACTCATACACACACTTAGCTCTTCTGTAGGGGCTTAGACCCAGGAAACAGATCCTGAATCTATTCTACACTTTCCCAGCAGGTAGAAAATACACGACACAGTTAGGATAGTAGACATGTCTTATTCATGGAACCTCTAGCTGGTTCCATTTTGCCCTCGTCAGTTCTATTTAGCACATCACAAGTCTTTTCCATAGGCCCTTTTATATGCAGGCCAAAGAAGGAGCAGTGCCAACAGGTTGCATAAGTGGGCATGTGCTCAGAAGCAAAATATTTATAATCTTGAATAAATACACTGAATCAGGTAGTTTCTGACCTTGACTACACACTGACCATAATGTAACTGATTCATGTCCTTAGTTACACACTAAAAATATAACAATAGCCTTTCAGAAGCCTCAGCAAGGTATCCTAAATACAGCCATTTTGGGCCTGCCCCAACACATGTGCACATACTCTTGGAGGAAAGTCAAGCAAACTCTTTCTCCTGCTACTTTCTTTTTTTATTTTTATTTTTTTTAGTTGTTAATGGACCTTTATTTATATGCAAAGCTGAAAAATGAACCCAGTGCCTCACATATGCTAGGCAAGTGCTCTACCACTGAGCCACAACCCCAACCCTCTCCTGCTACTTTCTTATCTGAAGAGTCAAAACAGGACTGTAGGTTTTATATCATTATATCATGATGGTCCTCTGTGCATCAGATTTTCTAGTCTAGGCATTCCCAACCTCTGGCCAGAAATCTCCTTCCTCAGATGGTACACAGTTCTCCTATTACATGACCATGAAATCAGAAATTGGATTCTGAACAGCTGTTTCTATTGCTTATAATATAAAGTTTCTTACTATTAATTTCTTTCTAGAAATCCTGATTTTTCTTTCCATTAGATATTTTGGGAACATTAAGGCTAATTTGAGAATTCTGGAGATACCAGCTTCTGTCTACTTTAGTCTCATCCTAGTACTCTACAGGCAGGACCCAGTTGGTGAACAGCTGTAGGCTGCTATTTGATCCTCCTTGATTAGGATTCTTTCATACCTATTTTAAGGTACTTGACGGAAATCCAAAGACCTAAGAAGTTAGAAAAATTTTAAATTATTTTAACCCTATTATAAGCAAAGCATTCAGGAGACAATTTTTCTCTTTCTGCATGTCAAAATGTGATGGTTAAGGGTCTGAAACTGTGAAGACCATAAAGTCTAAAATAAAAAAATAATTGCATAGCTTTCATCAGCACACCTGAGATCATAAGCATAGTCTGTTCTCTTATGCTTTTGATGATCACAGTCTTCATAACAAGTGTTTTTTTGGGGGGGAAAGGAAAATTAGAAAGAACTATTTACTTTTTGCATATCTAGGATTACCATGCATCCTGGTTTGACCAGAACAGTCTCTAATTGGTGTAACTATTTATAACACTTACACTTTTAGAAGTACCTTGTTTAGATGGCCCAGTATAGAAACCAATCAAATTGGTATTTAAGAAAATAAAATTTGGATAATGGAGAAAGAGAGAAACTTTCAATTTCATTTACTTTTATAAGAAGTATATAGATTCGAAGATATTTTGCAAATAGTCAAATCTTTTTTAGCATTTTTTTTATTTATATATGACAGTGGAATGCATTACAATTCTTATTACACATATAGAGCACAATTTTTCATACTCT